GATCGAATCGAGAGGCTAATATCGAGATACGGATCGAATCGAGAGGCTTGTGTATCGTTACAGCCCTAGTGAGATCCTAGGTCCTCGCACCAGCCGACACAACGCGTCGGAGCACGACTAACATGTCGCGTTGCTACGGCTGCAAACCGCGACGCCTCGCTCCCAGCCGACTAGCGGCACCCACCTGTACGATCCACTCGCTGTTAGCGTAGGCCATTATGTCTCTCTCCTCCCAGAAGAAAGCAGAGTCTGATCTCTTGATCTACAAAGGAGAGTGGACGTGAGTAACTCGATCGATGATTGATGACGATGATAAGCTCGTTAATCTGCATTCGTCATCCACGGATGCTGCAAGATGACATTTTATAACGAACGTGGAACGATAATTGATAGATAAATAGCAGAATGATATGCAATCTAATCGTAAACGTAATCATTACGAAAATCACTAAAATCGACGTCGGACGACAACGGTCGCGCCGTCCGACGCGTTTCCTCGGACGGGGACGCAATTCTGAAATTCCGAATACGCGGGTCTCCTGCGACGTCAAACAAAAACGCGCGAGGCAGGAGGCAGATGTATGAACCGAGAGCTCTGAAAAAACAAACTGGCTCGTTTACATCGCGAGACGACGTGGAAACCCCAGCTGCCAGCGGCAGTGTGTCGGATGAGACACAACAGTGCTCCTTACGTGAGTGAACGAAAGTCACGTATTATCAAGAACGAATAATACGTATTATTATAATATAATTATTATTAATTATATTATTATATAATAATAAGGTATTATTAGCTCTTGGTATTATGTAACGGGCATCGGTGTTTAATATCTCCACGCAATGTTCTAGCGGAATTTCATTTTCTTTGTGTTTCTCTATTCTTTCAGTTTTAATTTCGCTAAGTATTATTAATGAATCTGCATTAATCTGGATTTAATGATGACGAATGATATCAAAAACACATTGTTTGCTAGGGATAATATGCAGTATAACATTTTAAAAGCATTTATTTCGAAATCATTGCTCAAAAACGCAAAATATGAAAACTATAGCGAAGCAAGGTCTTACCAGTAAATTCTGGCTTTAACATCAGATGCACCTTTATACGACA